GCCAGGTGTGGTGGTACATAACTGTAATCCCAGCAGAAAGATCATGAATTGAAGCAGAAAGATCATGAGTTTGAGGCCAATCTGGGCTACATAGTGAGAGACCCTGCCTTAAATAACAACACCCCCCCCAAAAAAACCTTACTTTTTCTGTTTGACCTGTGTATAGTGCTTTCTGTTTCCTGACCGGGCTGATTGATCTGATTATAGCCCAATCTGTTCCCACACTACCAGAGCTTTGGGAAATTAAGATGTTTTGCTTAAGAGCATGATGGCACACCCCTTTGGTGCCAGCAATTGGAAGGAAAGGCTGAGATGGGAGAATGACAAGTTCAAGGTCAGTCTGGTTACATAGCTAGACACTGTCTCAAAAAAAAAGAATAAAGTGCTTTACTTAAAGTGAAAATAATGTAACACTTCTTTGGAAACCACTCATCTCCCTAAACTCTTCTCATGCACATTTTATTCAGTTCTTAGTCCTAAGCACTTAGGGGTCCACCCGCTGTAATGGATCATACAGTTTGGCTTATTTCAGTGTGACACAAAGGATACCCAGGTTGTGGTTTGGAGACCTGGAGCATGGTAATAGGCAACTGTGAAGGTCTTTGGGCTTGGGGCAATATAAATAGCCAGGTTTATCTCCTGTTCTGGGCCATGCCAGAATGAGGTTGTGGCTTTGGTAGTTACTTGAAAACTTACTGGGAATATTTAATAACTTGAGAGTGCAGAGGGATAATTGTGTGATTGAAGGTTTAGGTCCTTAACTGAAGAGGGATTAGTTTAGGTGATGTCCTGCCTAGGTCTTCATCTGTTTGACAAATATATCAAATAGCACTATTTCTGAATTTTGTTTCACAGACTAGGAACATGAATGGGAAACACCCAAAGAAGAATGATACTAACAATATTGTTTGAAGTATGTAATTTGAAAGGAATCCTAATTTACAGTATCAGCAGACATGAACATACTAATGACATTCAATGGAAAATGTCACCAGGACTGGGATTTGGCTCAGTGGAAAGTGCCTAGTATGTGTAAGGCCCTGGGTTTAACCCCTAGCACCCCCCAAAACAAAAATAAGCAAAAAACTACATAAATATCTCCCCAATATGAAGAAAAGATTTTTCTGAAAGATAAGAAAAGTTGCAATATAGTTTTAGAAGAGTAATAGTTTAATAATGTCATTTTCCTATCAATTAATTAATATGCTTAAAGCAATTAGGCAAAGTGAC